AAATTAAATATTCTTATTTTATAGTGCCCCTTTACAGGCCTTCCAAAATATATTTTTTAAGATTTTATTTATTTTAGAGATAGAGACCGCAAGCAGGGTGAAGAGCAGAGGGAGAGGGACAAGTAGACTCCATGCTGAGTGCAGAGCCTGACACAGGGCTAGATCTCACAACCCTGAGATAATGACTCCAGGTGAAATCAAGAGTCTGGCACTTAACCGACTGTGCCACCCAGGCGCTCCCAAAATATTTTTTATAATGGTAGGTATTCAGTATACATACTGAATAATAACTATATATTGAAGGCCCTCCATGATATGCCCCACACTTGCTGTTCTAGCTTTACCTCCTATTATTCCCCTAGGAATAATGTTCCAGCCAGTTTGGAATAATCATGATCCCCTAAATACCTACTGAATTTTCCTGCCTATGAGCCTTTACCCTTACTATTCTTTCCTTATATTTTTGACCGTTTGAATCTGGTCTGGTGGCACCTGGGTGGCTCAGTTAAGCATCTGGCTCTTGATTTCAGCTCAGGTCATGGTCTCAGATTCCTGAGATAAAGCCCCATGTTGTCAGGCTTCATGTTCAGTGAGGAGTTGGCTTTTCTCCCTCTCCCTCTGCCCCTCCCCCTGCTCACTCTCTCGTGCTCTCTCTCAAATAAAAAAATAAATCTAAAAAAAACCAACAACAAATCCTGTCTTTTCAGTTGCCTTTCCAGAGCCCTCTGCCAGAAATAATTTTCTTTGTTCCACTACTGTGACACTGTGTATTACTCATGCATCAGAGATATGTATGGGTTTGTGTGTGTATGTATATATTTTATCTAATCTACTAAATTATAAATTCCTTGTGGGTAGGTAGTGACAATTCTGTATGCTGTGCCTAGTATTTTGCTTAGCATGTGTTAGGTAATGTCTGATTGGCTGAAGTAAATGTTAGCTAATTAACTTTGGTGGCTGCTCTTAATCATTACATATGGAATAATACAACTACTCTTCACTATTCTAATTTATTTTTTTAGTACTTTTAAAAAATTATTTTATTTTTAAATTATTTTATTATTTATTTATTTATTTTAAATACTTTGTTTTTTTATTTGTCAGAGCACAAGCAGGGGGAGTGGCAGGCAGAGGGAGAAGCAGGTTCCCTACTGAGCAGGGAGCCCGACGCGGGACTTGATCCTAGGACCCTGGGATCATGACCTGACCCAAAGGCAGACACTTAATGACTAAGCCACCCAGGTGTCCCTTTAATTATTTTTTTAAAAGATTTATTTATTTGAGGGGCACCTGGGTGGCTCGTTGTTAAGCGTCTGCCTTCGGCTCAGGTCATG